TTGTCACTAAATTCATATTTTTTCTTCTAAAGCTGGTTGCTACTTGTGTAACTAATTAAGAGTGCGAAAATATGAAAAGGACTATGAAGTGTCCTTTGAAAAAAGATAAGAGACACATGCTTTATTTTTTTCAATTCTTAATCAATTTATATAATTGGGGTAGATTCACATGATTCCCCCATACAAGCAAGTGCCTCCATTTTTTATTAGACGACATGCTACTGCCTTGTATTTCCAATCATAAAATTATTCTCGAAATTCCTTTGCTGTTATAAAACAATAAAAAAAGAAGGAGAGTATTGCGGAGAAAAATAGAGGGAGAGAATTTTTATTGATTGGGATGAATTACAATAGAATAGAACCCTCTATTTATAGGGAGAGAGTGACTTAGCTACCAAGTAATAAACCCTAGAATCTCTCTAAATATAGACATTCACCATAAATAAAATTCTATTTATAAAACTCCCCCTGAATGTCTATTCAACCGATAATGTGCCTGTTAAAACCTTAACTAAAATAAAACCCAATGGAAAAAATTCTAGAAAAGGAAAAAGAGTACACTTATCTAACAATACGCCTTTTGGTTGCCTCGTTAAAAACCTTGCAAGGAAAACCCAGTGGGACAAACCTTGTAAGGGAAAAAGAGTACAACGCGTATTAACTCCCCCTGATGAGAGCATCAATTCACTTCTTTAAGTATTTGCATTTCAATCTTGTGCACCATCTTCAAAAGATCCTTGGTAGATATTTGATAAACAATATCAGCCATATTAACTTCAACGAATTTATTTCTCCTTGAAATTATCATCCCGGATAGATGTGTTGTCTTTATATGATCTTGCTGGAATCATCATTTCAATATCTTCACATAGGGGTGAAAACTCTTGCTATCATATTATCATGCTTATAGTTATAACAAGATACATATGTGCACAAATTGCATTTAGGATATAGTACTTCATGACCATGAATTCTATTTGCTTTAAGCAATTTAAATCCTTCAAGGATTTTTAAGTCATATAAGCCATATAATAGACTTTAGATGCATATCAAGTTTTCATGTCATGCTAGACATATAAGATATCGAAAACTGATTGCACATACCATTGACTTTATACTTTCAAGTGTTTGAACTGAAGGTCCAAAACTATATGTCTTTCGTATGAAACAAATTCTATTCGAATTGTGTCTCTTTCATTTGGCCAGTATTTTTGTGCCTATATTCGACATACTTAAGATCCTCATCTATACTTAGCGCTAACATAGATGTTGTCGACGAACATTTTATATCGGTTCCAGCTTTATTTTCATAAAGACATGACATAGAGATCTCTTCATTCATATTTTCAGGTACTTGAATCTCTCCTGAGATTTTATGAAGTGTTATGTCATGTGATCTTCTAGATCACTTGCCTCCTTATTATGATCATTTTGATCATTTGCTCACTATATTAAAAAGTTTATTTGAAACCGATTTGTCTACATGCTTTAAGCGTACCATAGACGTTGTCCTTCTAGGACTTAATAAGAGCATTTGCCATGAGAATATAGTTACTTTCTTTGGGTCAGCAAATGCGTCTGGCATGCTTTGCAATATATTGCACATGAATTATCCTTTTATGAACTTCAAGTTCATATTATTTTATTCGAGGATCTAGATGTACACATGATAATTCATTCCACGTAACTTTTCCTCAACTGTTTATCATGTCTCCCCCTCATGTTAGAAAAACTAACTTGTTTCCTCAGCTTTAAGAACTCATCTTTGTGCGTTATGGTGTTAATTAAAATATACACCGCACATCAATAATAATAAGATGGAATTATTTGGTTCCTGACCCTGATCCACTTGTGAGGGGAGAAAATAATATACTTTGGTATATAACGTATATCAAACTGATATAGATAANGTTTTGGTGGGTCATTGGAGACTTGCCGCCGCCGTAGGCGATTTCCGGCGGCGGCAGACGGCGGAGTCGGTGGAGTGGTCTCTAGGGTTTGAGGGAGGTGAGAGACGATGAGTGAAGAGGGGGGGGGGGTAGGGTGACGTTTGGAAACTTATATCCTAAGTGACCCAAGCTTCTCATCCGTTAGATCTCCTAACCTCGACGGTTGAGATCAAACGGGGAGCAAACGACGTCATTTGGTCGTCCAAGGAGACTGGGTCGGGTTAAGATGTGGGTATGGACTGGGTATTTGGTGGGTTTTGGGCTTGGACCAGCCCAATATTTGGGCATCTTTATTAAAGACTCAATTTTTTTTTTAATTTTCATTTCTTTTTCTTTTCAAATTAAAAACTAAAAACCTAAATTAATCCTAAAAAAACTAGATTAACCTACCAAATTATATTAAGCTCTAACTCAAATAATTAAATACCAAATTAAAAGAAAACTAACAAGATTCAAAGCTAAAAATTAAACCAAGCAAAATAAATCAATTTTTTTTGTGATTTTTGTATTTTTGTAAAACCCTAATTACTAATTAATATGTAAAATTAAATCCTAAATGCAAATGCAATACGTATTTTTGTATTTTCCATGAGTTATATAAATTAAAAAAATGCACACAGAAATGCAAATAAACATGAAAATTATGCAATTAAATCCTAAAAATCAAATAATTAAAAGAAAAATCCTAATTTTAAGAATCCCGTAGGAGTAAATCATGCGAGGCAAAAATCACGTGCTCACAGTTGCCCCTCTTTTCTCGGAGACACGAAGGGTTTTCGGGCAAAGATAAATGAGCAATTATGAGGGATTTTGCCCGCTTGGCACTCAATGAGAAGCATTTTTGATAAATGTCTGACCGAACCCTGCTTCAGAGGTTGCCTACATATCCTTCGTTATAAAGGAATCAGGTCAGTTTAGTTCTGGAAGTTTTGGTAGCTGGGACTACCGGGAGCTGTGATTTCACTGCTGATGCTGCTGCNAAGAATGAATATGTATTCATAAATCAGATGTTGTCACATTCACATCATGAATGGACCATAATCATCTACATGTGCTTTACAAAATCTTATATCAAATCGATGACAATATTTTTCACAGAGTGAAAGATTTATTTTGAGAATCCTTATTGTTCTCATTACCACAAATGATGACGATTATAATTTCGTCTATTGCCACGTCCATATCCATTGATACATTCATAGTAATAATTTTGTCTTCTTTCAGACTTATCACATACTGCTATCACATTCTCTTAAGAGAATGAGAATGGAGCAAATTCAATGGGACGAGTTCTCAATTCTTTGCCCACAATCATACATGAATTTGATCATGATAAGGCATAGAAATTTTACCACTTCAGGTGGTTATAATTTCTTACAAACTCCATTAGAGTTATAATCAAACTTTGTTGTCTTTGCTTGTATTTAAAATCAAAGTATAGAATAAAAGAGAAAAATACGGTAAAATACTTACCTTAAATCCAGAATTTAATCATGAAGGAAGTTCATGGAATAATTGACAATCATTATGCTCAATCCCAAAGCTTCTACTCAATTGGTTAGAGTCTCGTGCTGATAACGTGTTATAAAACAATAAAAGAAGAAGAAGAATATTGCAGAGAAAAGTAGAGAGAGAATTCTTATTGATTTGGGATGAATTACAATGGAATAGAACCCTCTATTTATAGGGAGAGTGACTTAGTCACCAAGTAATAAACCCAAGAATCTCTCTAAATATAAACATTCACCATAAATAAAATTCTATTTATAACATTTAACTTTTATTTCAGAAAGAAAAGACATTTATTGGTATTGACAGTTACAGCTCTAAGAATACATTTCTTTTTCTTCCTTTTTCTTTTTGGCTAGGGAAACAAAAGTGAGTTAATGCATCGCTGCTGCTGATGAAGATAGTGATAGTGATAATAATCATACATGGCTTTAGTGATTACATAAAATCAGGTTAAACTGAATTAGAATAGAACGGGTGTCAATTTTTGTTGTCCCTTTGTCTCTGTATTTTGTTTCAACTGAACGGTTACTTGTGTTTTGGTTCTGCTTTTCCATAAGTAAACTCGCACGTTTTCTTTCAAATTTAGCATCGTCCTAGTAGGAGTTTCTTTCACGAACAGATAACTTTGTATTTTGGTTCACTCTTTTGAATAAGAAAACTCTTGTGCTTTAATTTGTTTCATATTTAATTCATAGATTGAAGTATACCCTTTGTCATGCTCAAGAGTCAAGACCCTTTTTCTTAACTGGAGAAGCCGACAGAATAAAAAAATGAAGGTTTTCCTGCATTTATGAACACTCTTTGACTTTTAAGGTCCTCTTAATTATCAAAACTTCATTTTACTTTAACAATTTTATCAATTAGTCACTCCTTAACTTCTGTTTAGTTAAACACATGCATGGCTTAACGATTTTGTCTGGATCATATATGTAAGCAATGTTCTTCATGATTAGTGGACCATATCATGGCAATCAGAGCTATCGTTTCTCGTTGCCTTTACTCTTTTTGCTCTTGGCTATCTATGATATTGGTTGTCACCATCAAAATGAGAAAAGAGTGATAAAAGAAGGAATGAGAGAAGATATTAAAAGAAAAATAAAATTGTAAATTGGAGTTAAAAGGACACCTCGGTGCACGAAGCATTCCGCGTTCACGCAGGGTCCAAGGAAGAGCCGCACCCCAAGGGGTGTGATGTAGACAGTTACTCTAATGCAAGCATCAGTGGCGTAAATTGGAGTTCTGATTCTAAATCTAGAAAACGTTTTTAGAGGACTTAGGACATTAAGCATAGTATATGTATTATGAAATTCTGATGACCAGTTAATTGATTGGTTATGGTTCATCATCTTAAGTCTGTGGACCACTGTAATATACATACTGGTGTGCCAATTCTTGTCCATAGAATTGTCAGTCTGCTTTTCTTTTGGTGGCAATGGCACTATTGTATAAGTCATCCACTCCCTGTCTGCATCTTTGGTTCCATCATTTAGCATTATAAGTACTTAAAAGCATAGACATGGATTGACAAATTTAACGGTTGATTAATAAGAAGCTTTTACCAAAATTAAAGACGAAAACTACAAGTCTGGAACTAAAGCAATTTTGACAATGATACATGGAGAATTATCAAAAGACAGCTAGATATGATTAAAGAAGGGTGCAGAGTTGAACTTGTTGCAAGCTTAAAATAACATACCAGTTTGGTACATAGTGAAATTATGGACAAAGTGATGGACAAGTTTGAAGTTAGGGAATTCTTTGGCTTCCCATACCTCTCACTCTTCTATATAAGTAAGTTATCTTATGTTAAAAAAAATATCCTTCTTCAATATATTACTCAACATGGCAAACCATATTACCTTGTGTATTTGGTTGCTTTTCTTCTTTATTTCTATATTTTCACTAGCAAAGTCAGAAACTTATATCATTCATATGGATTTGTCAGCCATGCCAAAAGCTTTTTCTAGCCATCATAATTGGTACTTGACAACACTTTCTTCTGTATCAGACAGCAGTACAAATCACAAAGACTTCTTGTCCTCAAAACTAGTCTATGCTTATACTAATGCCATCAATGGTTTTAGTGCAAGTCTTTCTCCTTCTGAACTTGAAGCCATCAAAAATTCTCCAGGTTATGTTTCTTCAATTAAGGATATTTCAGTCAAAATTGACACAACTCACACATCCCAATTTCTTGGCCTAAACTCTGAGTCTGGTGTATGGCCAAAGTCTGACTATGGTAAAGATATCATAATTGGCTTAGTTGATACTGGAATTTGGCCAGAGAGTAAAAGCTATAGTGATGATGGGATTAGTGAAGTACCATCAAGATGGAAAGGAGGATGTGAAAGTGGTACTGAGTTTAATTCCTCTTTGTGTAACAAGAAACTCATTGGCGCTCGTTACTTCAATAAAGGCCTACTTGCCAACAATCCAAATCTTAACATTTCAATGAATTCTGCTAGAGATACAGATGGACATGGAACTCACACTTCTTCTACAGCTGCGGGAAGTTATGTCGATGGTGCATCTTATTTTGGCTATGCCACTGGCACTGCTATAGGCATAGCACCAAAGGCTCATGTGGCTATGTACAAGGCTCTATGGGAAGAAGGTGTATACTTGTCTGATGTTCTTGCTGCAATTGATCAAGCAATTACAGATGGTGTGGATATATTATCCTTGTCGTTAGGCATAGACGCGATTCCACTACATGAAGATCCTGTGGCAATTGCCGCATTTGCTGCATTGGAGAAAGGTATATTTGTTTCCACCTCTGCAGGAAATGAAGGGCCTTATTATGAGACTTTGCACAATGGAACACCTTGGGTGCTAACTGTTGCAGCTGGCACAGTTGACCGCGAATTTATTGGAACATTAACTCTTGGAAATGGAGTTTCAGTCACTGGTTTATCGCTATACCCTGGGAATTCTAGTTCAAGCGAAAGCTCCATTGTCTATGTCGAATGCCAAGATGACAAGGAACTGCAGAAAAATGCACACAAGTTTGTTGTCTGCCTCGACAAGAATGATTCGGTTGGTGAGCATGTGTACAATGTAAGAAATTCAAAAGTTGCTGGGGCTGTCTTTATAACTAATACAACTGACTTGGAATTCTACCTCCAAAGCGAATTCCCGGCTGTGTTCTTGAACTTACAAGAGGGTGATAAAGTTCTAGAGTACATTAAGAGCAACTCTGCACCTAAAGGAAAACTTGAATTCCAAGTTACACATATTGGTGCTAAACCAGCACCAAAAGTTGCTACCTATAGCTCAAGAGGACCGTCACCGAGTTGTCCAAGTGTCCTCAAGCCTGATCTCATGGCTCCTGGTGCCTTAATACTTGCTTCATGGCCACAACAATCACCGGTTACTGATGTTACCTCAGGAAAGCTTTTTAGTAACTTCAATATTATATCTGGTACATCAATGTCATGTCCACATGCTTCTGGTGTAGCAGCACTTCTAAAAGCCGCACACCCTGAATGGAGCCCTGCAGCCATCCGATCAGCCATGATGACCACTTCCAGTGCTTTGGACAACACACAGAGTCCCATCCGAGATATTGGTAATGTTGAACTCTGTGACCATCTCATTTAAAAGTTAGATTCTATTTCATGGACCAATCATTTGGAATTATTTTATAACTTTTTGGATAGCGGTGAGATTTGAACCTAGGACTTCATACATGCTCTGATACTATGTTGAATTAAGTAAGTTTAAATGTTAGATAGAGCATATTTTTAATTATTTAATTATATTATGTCTCAACAGGTAACAAGAATGCTGCTGCTACTCCTCTAGCCATGGGAGCTGGCCATATCAATCCAAACAAGGCGTTAGATCCCGGACTTATCTATGATGCGACACCACAAGATTATGTTAATCTTCTCTGTGCTCTGAACTTCACATCCAAGCAAATAAAAACCATCACAAGATCCTCATCTTATACTTGCTCCAACCCATCATTGGACTTAAACTATCCATCTTTCATTGGATTTTTCAATGGGAACAGCAGCGAGTCGGATCCTAAAAGGATTCAAGAATTCAAAAGAACAGTGACAAATTTACAAGATGGTACATCAGTATATACAGCAAATCTCACTCCAATGGGTAAATTTAAAGTTAGTGTTGTACCTGAAAAGTTGGTTTTCAAAGAGAAGTATGAAAAGCTGAGCTACAAGCTTAGAATAGAAGGTCCAATAGTTATGGATGATAATGTGGTTTATGGTTCTTTGAGCTGGGTAGAAACTGGAGGTAACTATGTGGTTAGAAGTCCAATTGTTGCCACAAGCATAAAAGTGGATCCTTTGACAGGACACAACTGATTATTCAATAATAAAGGGCAGCCCGGTGCACTAAGCTCCCGCTATGCGCGGGGTCCGGGGAAGAGCCGGACCACAAGGTTTTATTGTACGCAGCTTTGCCCTGCATTTCCGCGAGAGGCTGTTTCCACGGATCTATAACTAATTGTTTTCTAAATGTGATATTGTAACACACAATTGTGAAATAAACTTATATATTCTTCCCATTATTTTCGTGCTGTCAGCTAGTGAAAAAGACTGGCAGTCGGCAGATTACTTGAGCTTCCGAATCACTCTAACTTATCAAACACTTAACTGAATATTAGCTGTGAACTTGGACCAGATAAAATTGAATAATTAGAATATTCACTCATATCTTTCCGGAGATTCAGCTTCCCCAACTCCGTTTGTCGACGACTTTTGTCTCTAAACTCCAGGATTATGTTACAGTATTAACTTCTTTTTACCTTAATGTTTGACCAAAAATGAGCCAAAGTGAAGCTTTAAATTGTTAAATTAAGGGCAGCCCGGTGAACGAATCATCCCACATTCACGTAGGGTCCGAGGAAGGGCCCCACCCTAAGGGGTGTGATGTAGACAGTCTAATCTAATTCAAGCATCAGACTGGTTTTATGGCTCGAATTCGTGACCTTAGATCACTCGAAGACAACTTTACCATTGCTCCAAGGCTCCTATTCATCTCGTTAATGTTACCTATTTTTCAATTCATCTCGCTCTCTTTGCATATAGTTCCTCTGACTCTCATAAAAAATTTATCCCTCTCAATCTCACTTCTTTTCTGTTTATCTTCTATTGTGCCATTATTGATGAATATGCATACACTAATAATGTTGTTTAAAGTATGATGTGTTAAAAGTTGGAGAGTAAAATGTGTATAGTAAATGGATTGACAGATTAAAAGCATCTGTTTATATTCATGTAAGTGAAAGAAGATAAGAATCAGAAAATCCTATAAACATGTGATCAATAGTAACATTTTAAAAATTAGTTTCTCCACCCTAATGCTACAGTATATCCTCTATCAGTTTCTGATTTATGATTTCCCCACAAAAGAAGTAAAGAGAAAAAGAAAGAAAAAGGAGCTTGTAGTTGTAGATCATGGTGGTCATAGCCCGATATATGAAGAAATACAAACCCGGATCAATGATCAATCTAAGTTTATATCATGGTTATAAGTTATGTGTCTTTTGTTTTGATGATTTTGACAAACTTCATGAGAGAACCAGATAAGGAACCTGAAACAATTAGTTCCTTTGCGTTCAGAGTAACTAGCCATATGTCTGGTTCAACTCTCAATGAAATCAGTTAAGGCGACAGCAGAGGAAACAGTGGAGCGAACAAATAGAGATCAGTTCCTCCGGTCACAGTACAGGTCAACTCCTTACAGCTGTTAAAGTCGCTGCACTGTTGCACTGCACACGCAACAGTGCAGCAATCACTTTATGGAGCATGCCTTGTACCGGATCTTTGCTTACATCATCCTAATGACCTCACACACATATATTATCAACATGAGGCAAGGGATTTCATCGTCTAACACTTGCAAATCAAAAAATTGATTTTCTCGCTCAAGTGCTAGCCACCACCCTTCTCAAGAATAAAGTTGCTGCAACCTCAAGGACTAGATCCAAAGAATGAAGATATCTTAAGTCCTTAGGTTTGTTGAGTCTTTGTTATTTGTTCTTCATTTGTAATCCTACACTACTTTCAAGAAGTGTCTTTGTAGGACAGATTTAAAACCACTGTTTGGTTTAGTTTCTTGACTAGAGTTAGTCAAGGTTTGTTGCTTTGTAATAGAGTTATTACAAAGAGGCTTGCAATATAGTCATTACAAGTAGGTGAGGGATTAAGAGTTTAATTCCTAGATTACAATAGGTTGTAATCTAAAGTTGTTCGGTTAGTGAAGTTGAAATCCTACGAGTGTAGGTCGTGTTTAATCCCGTGAGCTGAGAGTTTTTCACGTAAAATGTTGTTGTGTTATTTACTTACCGCTCTGTGCGTGTGTTCTGTGGGACCTGATAGAGAACCGCGTTCTCTATACAGTTTGGTGGACTCTTAGTTTTCTATCAATTGATATCAGGGCGGGTTCTTTCTAAAAGGTTAACACCTAAAAAGGATCTATATGGCTACTCCACCAAACTTCGAGGAAGGTCAATCAACCTATAGACCACCAAGATTTCAGAAAATGGTTCGTAGAAATGGAGGCATCCCTAAGGAGGGCAGCTCTAGCAGAAACAAAAAAGGATACGATTGTTGTCACAAGTGCGGAAAGCCAGGACATTTCATCAAAGATTGTCCTCTCCACAAGCAGGACCATTACAAACACAATGCTGACAAGATGGTTAAAAGGAACCTGGTCCCCGACAGAAAATTCAAGAGAAGAGATGTCGTTGATAATATTATAAAGCAAGCTCTGGCTGCCTAGGGAGATTCCTCTAGTGAATCTGAGGGTGATGATGAACAGGCAGACACCTCCATGATGGCCGTTGAAAGCAAAGCTATAAAAATATGATTCCATATTTGTATTGATTGCAAAATCTGATGAGGATGAAGAAGAAGAAGATGAGGATGAGGTAAACTTTCTGGACGTACAAAGAAATTTGAAGTTTTATTCTAAAAAGAAGGTGGTATCTTTGGCTAATGTTTTAATCGATGCTTACCATGACCTCATTACTGATAAAATATTTTAACTGAGGAAATCAGAGAGTTAGAACAAGAGAGAGATGATCTGGTGATTGTAGTTGTAGATTTGAAGGAAACAGTGGAGGAAACAAAGAAAAAAAATATCTTCTTAAAAAATTCGATGGAAAAATGCATGAACTCCTCTAAAGGAAAGGAAGTGGCAAGCGAAGCACACCTTAAACTTGAAAATGAACTCAAAAATATAAAATTGAGTCTTGATGCTGAACTTGAAATGAATAGACAACTTCAGGAAGATTTAAACAGGGTCAAAAATGATCTAGATAAATCTTTGAAGTGGACCTGGTCCTCTGATACAATCACTTCCATGCATAAAAGTAATGGAGGGAACAAGCAAGGAATCAGGTTCCACAAGGAAAAAAACCCTTATAACCCACATAGCAAGTATGTTACTGTGCCTGATAACTGGCTTTGTACTCACTGTGGTACGACTGGTCATACAAAGATTCATGTAAAGCAAAGTTTCAGTCCCAACAGAAAAACAAAGTTTTTGTCGAAAAAGTTTCTACTGCTAAGGAACCTGATTCTCTGAAAAAGAAATGTGTGATGCCTGTATGGACAAAAAGAAATTTGATTCGACCCTTCTCTTATTACAAGGGACCCAAACTTGTTTGGGTTCCTAAGACTAACCTATGATTCCCTTATGCAGGCAGTAGTGAAAGAAAGCAGTCAAAAATGGTACATAAATAGTGGCTGTTTTAAACACGTGACTGAAAGAATGGATGATTTCCTTTCACTCAAGTCCCTGCAAGGTGGGAGTATATCCTTTGGGAAAAAAGGGATACATTCTGGGAATTGAAAATATTGGAAAAACACTCTCTCACTCAATTGAGAATGTGTATTATGTGAATGGCTTGAAGTATAGCCTGCTGAATCTCTCTCAAATCTGCGACAAAGGAAACAAAGTGGAGTTTCTGTCAAAATCTTGCACTGTTACCAATCTTATAATTTGTGAAGTGGTTCTGATTGCAAAAGGTTCAAAAACATTTATGTTGCAGACTTTGAATCTCCGATGGTGGTGATCTTACATGTCTGAGTACCGTTGATGATGATGCTGAACTATGGCACAGAAGATTGGGACATGCAAGCTTCACTCTGTTGAACAAGCTGATCAAGAAAGACCTGGTTCGTGGATTGCCGAAGTCAAAGTTTAAAGATCACAAGGTTTGTGATGCATGTGTGAAAAGGAAGCAAGTCAAGTCCTCATTCAAGCTAAAGAAGGAAGTGAGCACCTCAAGGCCACTGGATCTTCTTCATATGGATCTGTGTGGACATATGAGGATGCCTAGCACAGGAGGCGATTAGAAGCTAATGATATTGCACTTTGGCAAAAGGATGAGGCTCACATCTACAAAATCTGTCAGGGAACTTGGTTCCCTTGACACGGGTTAGTAGTCCCTTTGTACTCTCATGCACAATTTTTTAAACGGCTAAAAAGGGTGCCATGTCATTAAAATGTCAGTTTCTCCTTTTTCTTTTTAGAACCCAAGCATCCTACCCGTTAAGAAACGACCCGCCTACCCAGAAAATCAATACCTGTTCCCAACCGGTCCCTCACCCCCTTTAAATTAATCCAAAGGATATCATTCTCATAACTGTTCACATCAAAAGACAATACTTCCCTTTTTCTCTCAACAACCAAACACTCTCTTCTTCCTTAAACGCTCAGACACAACACACCATCCACCATATTAAGAGCCGACACTCCTATCTAGATGGTTGAGCTTCGAGACACGAGACACAACAAGGATGTCTTTAGTAGCTTTGGGAGACTCGGATTGTGGTGAAGACATGGTTGATTCTGAGAGAGGGAAGACACAAAAAGATGGTTTGGGGTATTTAGAGGGAAAAGAGATATCTGTTACAATAAGGTGTGAGAAAAAGGGATGGGTAGTCGGGTCGGTTTAAGAGGTATGAGAATAAGCGGAGGCAATTAATGATGTGGCATACTAGCAGTTCAAAATGGATATGAGTGTAATAGCAACTACTAACCTGTGTCATAGGAACCAGGTTCCTTGACAAATTTTGAAAATGCGAGCATCATCCTTCCAAAAATTTGCAATGTCATTAGACACTTGGTTGTCCTGTAGTTGCCATGCGTGTTTACCTGTAATGGTATATAATTGAGTTAAAAGTTGCCAGAAAACACTTTTTAGCAATTTACCTTACCATCCTTCACCAATATCCTCTTCTTCTTTTCTTCTTTGTTTTGTCTTAGAACTGATTCAAGAGCTTCCTTCTTCTGTAGCATAGTAGTAGTCTTTTAGGAGTGGACTCCTTAGGAGTTGCCTTTCTACTCCTAGCACTAATGAAGCTTGAAAGCACCACATTGTCATAGTCTTCTTCGCTATCCTCATTCTCCTTCTCAGATAGAGATCTCATCTCAGGAACAATAATGGTCAAAGGCTCAGCATAGAAATGAGGAGAGGGAGCGGGATCAGTACTGACATGGGGTTCTATTGGAGAACAGGGGGTTTCATCCCAAGTAGGATCAGAGGGCTACTCTTGG